TCAGTTACGTGCCGACAACTCTGCTGGCTATACATAAAAGTATGGATATACCTTATCATCTAGTATTCACTGATAGCTGACAATGTTATTCAGATCTGATCGAGAATTAAGGACTTCAACAACAAAATTGTATCCCCTGATATTACTAATCAGTCAACCAATAAAGTGGCTGTAGTGGATTTCCAACTCTCAACCCAAGAATTCAGTAATGAGAAAATAAACAAATGGTAAAGTTATAATTATTAACTTTTTTGGGAAAACCTAAAAAATGCAGCATTTCAGGTATTGAATGGCTGCAATTGGCTGGAGTCACTACTCTCTGTGCCCTGACCCAAGCAGTCTGTCTCAGATGTCACACCATTTTGAAATGTCCTATTCCACTCTTACATTTGCTGCACCAACAGGTTTGCATTACCAAACTAGACCTTCGTTCTGCTATGCTTTTCTACAGGTTTAAACCAGGGTACATGTCAGATGTATCTTGTCAACCATCTTTAAACTGTCATTAAGACATCACCAAGTCCGTCTGCACTGTGATGCCATATGCTTAACACTCTTGACACCCTTAACAACCCTATTGACAGTTATAAGACAGTGGCAAGGTTGTTGTAATTGCTACCATACTTTTAAGGTTTTCATTTAATGCCCTGTCGTGCACGATTTAAAATCTCAAAGTAGGCTGTTGTGCAATGTTGGTGCAGTCTATGTCCACCAATCTTTCTTCATATTCATGATCACAGAAGTAAAAACAATAGAGCGTAGGGGATACTCTCGGCGGTGGTGGTAGTCGCCGGAAAACCTCAAATTAGGTCGCAGGAAGTGCGCAATTGACACGTGACTGAGGCTCTGTTAGGGTATTTTTGCTGCCACCATCTTTTGTGCCCGTTATTCGGAGGATAGCCAACCCTCCTTTGTCTAGTTGGTCATGTGTCGTTCCTTCAGCAAGACCCATCAGTAGTTAAATCACTGAACTATCATCCAACTTTATATATTTACATTTTAGACCATGAAGTTGAATGGCCATTTCCAAACCTAATCACCTCCTATTCCCTGAAATTTATTTGGTTCTCATTTTCTTTTAAGTCTGATCTGACTTCAGAGCCATATTGATACAAAATATCATGTGACTTCAAGGGACTAAATCTAGATCTACTTTTTGACAAGAGAACTTTCTGGGAGAAAGGCAAGGGAAAGACCTAAAAAGAGATGGATACATGGTGTAGCTAAAACCTGTAAAAAGATGAATAAATCCACCACCCAAGGCGCCTGAGAAGCGCAAAATAAATACAGAAAACCACCACACTGAGCTACAATGTGGTATCAGTGAGATAAAAAAAAAAAAAGAAGAAGAAGAAGAATCTAGATCAGTGTTTAATGGTCCGCGGAAATGTCCTGGTGGCCCACCAACAATTTCTGCCTAATCAGGTAATGGCTACGTGATTCGGGCACTTCATTGCTGCACAGATTGTCTAACTCCTCACCAGCAGTCACACTAAGCTGAGATAAACACAGAGCCGGGCTGATTGAAAAAAAAAAGGGTTTTGCAACTTCTAGGGACTGAATCTAGAAAAGTGTTTTTTAAAACCAGTGGTCCGTGGAAATGTTAAGGTGGCCTGCCAAACACTTTCCCTTGTTTTGCCAGTCACAGATATAAAAAGACTGAAGAACACTGATTTAACACTTGATTTAACAGTTCAACACTTGACGTCTCTGTTTCCTTATATCACTGTCTGGTCTCAGCAGGAAAGCACAATAACAGTTATGCCATGGTTATTCATTATTGCTTGCTGGTAATAACAAATTCATTCCTGAATATCTTTCCTATTATTACATGCTGCTGAAAAGCATTTCTTGCTTGATGTGACAGTAAAAGAATTTTAATCTGATTAAGTTTGACTATAACGTAAGTAACGAATTGGGAATATGTTCATACTGTTACTATGTAAATACATGTATGAAAATGTGCATATATTAAATTCATTACTATGTAAATATGTGAATGAACTTGCTCCTAGAATAACCTATATCAGTTGTGTGTACATATGTGTGTGCACACATGCATGTGTGTTGCCCATGCATTACATATTTATATTTTTCTGGATTACTGTGACAATGAGAAGCTAGATACATAAGAGTAATTTTTATGACAATAAAAGTTTCTTTTATTAACTTTTGCAAAAATTATTTATTATATTTGTCGGGACATGTGAGAAGAAAGAGATGGCAAGCAGAAAGATAGAAGAGTGGAGAAAACGAGAACAACTAGGGTAAAGAGACAGCAGGACAGAGAAGAGAAAAGTGAGGAGACAGAGAGGACTGACTGACTGATTTTCTACCCCACTAGGACATCACAAGCGATAAACACCCGATGACACAATGTATCACCATGTGGGTGAGGATCCCCGTGGAGAGGTCCCAGAAACCGCGTTCAGCCTTTAGGCCATATTTATGGCCAGGCTATATTGTGGCCCCTGGCAAGAGCCAGAGTAGGGCTTCATATAACAAAAAATTCCATCCTAAAAAGGACAGGAAATAGATAACAACAGAGAGGATGAGAAAGCAAGATTTTTCAAAATGCTGAATATTAAACACACAGACTGGTCTTAAATCCGACATATTTTGCATTTCAAGTTTAAAAAAATTAAAAATATGTACTGCTTTTGAGGCCGGTGCAGGACCTAGGGGGGGGGGGGGCGGGTGGGGGCAAGGGAGGGAGGGGCATGGGAGCCTTGAGCCTAAGGATTTAAAGCCACAAGCTAGTGCAGTCGCCATGAACTGTGCAGGTTAGAATGTTCTCTGTGTGCCCCCGACATAAAACTTCTATCACCTCACCAAGGATTTGAACCTGGTCTTCTGCATAACAGCCCAGCATTTTAGCCATTCAGCCAACCATTCCTTAACTTTAAATGCCATATACGGTTTCCAAACACTTTTCACATACAGAAATTAGTTCCTGGCATCTAGCATAAGTGTCTGCTCTGTTTTATCCTCATTACTCCTATACTATCAACATTGACTAAACAGTGTTAAAGCCAGCTATTTACTGTTGAAACTAACCAAATACTGTTGAAGCCGGGTACATGTACTGTCAGCTGTTATAAAAACTGACAATACAGTTCATCCACTACTGTCAAAGTGACAACATCTACTGAAATGTGAATCCATCTCTGATGAATCCTGCAACAAATCATCACAACATTACGAAGTGATCAATGTCTGGGAAGGACAGGATCCTCTGCTTCTTCATGTTCTGTAAGCTCTGGTGGAAAGTTCTGGTTGTTCGTCTATTTCTAGACTTTAGTTCCATACCTGAGTGTTGCGTGCACATCCGTTTTACAAATCTGACTTATCTGTAAGCAGATTATAGGTTCCTTGCCTCTTGAGCTGATGCACTCTGACTTCGAAGAAATTCCCCAATTAGTTGATTCATACAACATGCTTTTGGGTAGGCAGTGGGTCTTTTCTTGTTTATCCCACAATGGGGTCCCACAACCCATAAGGGGGAGAAAAAAGTACAGTATAACAGGCACACAACTAACCACCACACAAATGCGACTAGCACTAAAACACATACTTCTGTCTAACTTTCAGAAGATCACTATGCTAAGAGTAATGCCTGTTGTCAGGTGTCATCTCCGTGATGAAGACTGACTACAAGAGAACTCCATCACTCAGAATGCTTTTCAACTTTCTTATTAGCGTTCACCGCCTGTAAACTCTGGCGGAAAATTCCGGTTGTTCATCCATTTCTGGGCTTCACCTTTGTTCTAGAACAGGAGTTTTGCATGCACATCGTTTTTTTTAAAGATCTGGCTTATTTGTGTGCAGACTGTTTGTTGGTTCCTTGCCTCTCAGGCAGATGTGCTCTGACTTCGAAAGAAACACATAATTAGTCACCTTTTACGACATGCTTGTTAGGGGGCAAGAGGTCTAATCCCCCCCCCCCCCCCCCCCCCCCCCCCCCCCCCCCCCCCCAAAAGACCCATACTGGAAGCTTTCTGTTTTTTCTTTGATGTTTTCTTTCAACTTGCTTTCCTGTTTACCTCTTTTTTGCCTGCCTTCAACTTTTCCCTCCAATAGTTTTTATAACAGCACAATGTCTTTTAATGTGCCTGAAATATTGCACTGCAATTTTTTGTATTTCCTTTATCAACTCTTTTCATTCCTAGTATCCATAGAACCCTTTGATTAGAAGACTGTTTTTTTGTTTTTTTGTTTTTTTTAAAACACATATTCTCTGGTGTATCCACATATTCAGAAAAGCTATTAAACTTTCCAACTGCTAATTCTCTGTACTGATCTCTTCACCATATACTGTTGTTCAAGCTGTTGTGGTAAGCGATGTTTATTTTTGCAGCCAGTGTCTAACCGAAGACAATTTCAGACACCCTAGAGTGGAAACTGTCTAATACTAGCCTGAATGTGATAGTCTAGTTCAAATGTGACTATTTTGGGAATTTCAGAAACACTGGGACTGATCCAGTAAACCAGCAGTCGTTTATTTATTGCTCGTAAAAAAGATGAAGAGATCTCATGAACCGATTAAAATGAAAGGGACAGTACCCACGAATATCAAGAAAATTGGTAGCTTCAGTATATGTGGAGTTAACAACATACTAAAGACCATTATAGAAAAAAAATGAATAGAATAGCAATATTTATGAGCCAGAGGTTGAACATGCAGCAGACAGACCATGGAAATATCGGAGACACTGAAAAGTGTTATATGCAAAGCGAACAGAAGGGTCTGTACCAGAGATCTCTTGCTGCCCTGACACTAAGATACATTCCAGGACTAGAGAAAAGAAGAATACATAACATCTGACTGCTCTCATTTTTAATGTATTGTTGATTTGCTTAAATTACAAGTCCCGCTGCAGTCAGTCCTACCAAATTCTGGCTGGTCAGTGCAGATGGGCACTCTAATAGACATGAAGATCTATTTCTTGCTCCAGAGATCACAACACTGACACTTATAACAGCAGAAGTAGTTTTATTTATCAACTTATATCATAATTATATCGTAAGAAGTCCAGAACGGCTGATGTGCTCATTAGAGAGTTGAAAACACTTCTCTCCGATTTCGTCAGCACATGTTCAAGCATAAAGATGAGGTGGTGGTGGAAACATGAAAATGGAGTACCTGTAGACAAGGCTATGTCCAGCTGAAATATGCAACCCAAAAATATGTCAAACTTCATCTTATACGCAGGTTTGAACATGAATGAATCAAGAACTTTCATCTATGCACTAGGGACATTTCCCCACTTGCTCGGTCTCTTCCTCAGTAGCCAATAAAGAGTCCTTCTTGCTAACAGTGCCTGTTGCAACCTGATTAGAAGTCTTATGTTGTCCATCAACACTGAATATAGTCAAGGACCCCCCTTCTCGGCAATTTAGTCTTTCCAGGTATGAATACCTTGTCTGTTTTGCACCGTCTAATTGTCCCAGAGGGCCTTCACCACATCCACTTTATCAAAAAGTACCTCCTTTTCCAGACGTGACAGCTGCCAACCTATAAGCCTGTTTCTTACCCTCTACACCAGGATGTACTGGACAGAAAATTCATATGCTCTGGATCCGAGTCTTATCACACCCCATCTTACATGTCATTTTAAACACAAAACCCCAAAAATATTTCAAACCTCATCTGACATTGGAAATGGAAAAAATGGGTTTGAAAAAAAAATAAATTCTTGACTACAGATCTATGATTTTTCTGAAACATTTCTGGAACCTGCTTTGTCATCCCTTTAAACCCTACTCTTGATCACAGTGTGGTTTGCTCTCTTTTTTAATCTCCAGTCTGTTCTAAACTGGCTTGCTCCAAAAATTGTATTATTTCCACCACAAATGATTAATATTTGAAAAAAAAAAAGGTCCATACACATTAGTTCTAACATTATGATGATTTCATGTGGGAAAAAAAATAGCAGAATAGCATTAGTTTTACATCTGATAAAGATTTGGTGAACACAGCATTATCTCCACTTATAATGTTGATGCTATGTTCACATGTTATGCTGACCTAATGTGTAAACAAGACTAGTGATGATTTAATTTTCATATTACTAAGCCATAGTAACATATATCAATTATCCTAATCACCCCCTTTTGGGGTGAAATTTTTAGTTATTTTGAAGCCTAACCATGACTTTTGTCGTGGGGCCCTAAATATATCCTGGCCATAAATTATGGCCCAACAGCTAAATGGGGTTTCCGGGACTGTTCCACCGATGATCCTAATCCGCATGGTGGCACTTTGTGTCACTGGGTGTTTATTGCTTGTGTGATGTCCGGGTGAGTACAACTTACATACATAGATACTAAGCCATAACTACTTTTATACACACATTTAATGTAAAGGTAGTAAAAGATTCCCACTTCCAATTAAAACCTGGCAGGATGAACAATCAGAAAAAAAAAAAAAAAAGAAGAAGCAACAATAACAAGAAGAAATTATAAAAACAATTTAAAATGCATAAGAGAATGAGGTTCTTTCATGATATCCTACCCCAGATGATGTCACAGGACAGTCCAACATTTTAGAGGGTGGTAAGACTGGGTTTCCTGGCTTTCTGATGCTCTTAATGACCCCAAAACATCTAGAACTGGCCCTAACCCCAACCCACCTACATCCCACGAGAGAGTGCAGCCTAGGTCCCACAAATGCATGCAGCCTTTCTACCACCCCCTGAAACATTAGACTGTACCGTGACCTGTGGATTTTCCCTGTTTGGGGTAGGATATTAATAAAGCACCAAGCATGAAGCACTTACCCAGTCCTTGATGCAGTCCACTGGAGTTTCATCATAGCCTGCATACATTGCAGGGTTTGCCAGAATACCTCGAGCAGCCATCACCCCTGATAATGAAACAACACATATAATATTTTCATCCTTCAAATAAATAAGCGTGTAGACCAAATGATGTCTGCCAGCATCAACAGGCAGTTAGCTAACGAAATGAATTTTGATGAAACTGGACGTGTGGGACTGAAAGGCGTAGATATCACAGCCTAGCTGTAAACCACATCTCAGGTGTGAGGTTTGAACAATGGATCAACATCATGGCACACGGGTAGTAACCCCTAAATGCTCCGTTTTTCTTCAAACTCAAGTCTGAGTCCAAAGAAGCTCAGCACAGTGCACAGGCTCTGTAGCACCGGTGAGGCAAAAGCAGAAATAAAATATAGTATTTTTTCACTTGTTTCTAAGAACAAAATATAACTTCCAAATTGATAATCAATCATTAAATAATAATTATAAACATTATAGAATAAAACAATTTATCTTGATATAATAATTTATCACAAACTTTTGTTGTTGAGATGTACAGCATGTACTTTAGGGGAATGGATTCTTGTTTTGTAATTTATGTTGAAGTAACTATATTAAGAATGAAAACGAATCCTGATATACCTGCTAAAAACAACTCTCACATGAATACCAGAGGGAAAGAGAAAAAAAGGGGCGCCCAAAAACAACATGGAGACGAACGATGGAAAGTGACCTGAGTGCGGCATCTTTGACATAGAAAACTGCAATGAAGATTGCACAGGACCGGAAAGCATGGAAAGTCCTCTCTGAAGCCTCATGTGCCACTAGGCCTAAAGAGAATTAATGGTTGATGACAATGAATGGTCTTAGACATATATGGCTAGCACTGTACACCTAATGCACAAATTCTTCTTCTTGTTCTATGTTCATCCCTAAAAGGGCAGGTGGCAGGTGGTGGTGTGGTTTACAGTTAGGCTGAGATATCTGTTCCTTCAGGGCCCAACAAATAAGATTTAAGCAAAACAAGCATGCCATAAAAGACAACTAATTAGCGATGCTTCCTTTAAAGTCAAAGTACATCTGCCTGTGAAGTGAGGAACCAACAGTGCATACAAATTTTGTCAACTGCATGTGCACACAAAACTCAAATTCTGGAACACACAAATCCAGAAGTGGACAAACAACCAGGCAACCAGGACTGTCAAGAATTTTACAGCCGGTGAATGCAAAGAAGAAGAGATGAGATGCTTGTTAGGGCTCAGTGGGTTAATCCCCCCCCCCTCCCCCTCAATCTGGGCTCAGAAACCCATTTGGGGGTAATGTCACTATTAACATTATTAGTTCTAGCAGTAATAACAATTCCATCAATCACATCCAATTTCACCACACCCCTAGTTAGTTACCTTTTGCAACATGCCTGTTGGAGGGGGGGGGGTCATTTATTCCCCACCCACCAAAATGGGGTCCCAAGAACCCACACAGAGAAATACACCCTTATGATGTACCCTTAAGAGCTGAAAAATATAGCTAGTAGCTCAAAAAATGTCAATATCCTTTTTTTTCATTTTTCACTGTGAAAGTATTGTCTTGTATTGCACAGCACAGCACTATCAGGATTCCGTCTTGCACATTTGATTTGATCCACGTTCACCAGCTGTAAACTCAAAAGGGAAGTTCTGGTCATTCCTCCACTTTTGGGCCTTAGTCTTGTTCTCAAACTCAAATTTTGTGTGCACATCTGTTATACACATCTGGCTTATTTGTGTGCAGACTGATGGTTCCTTGTCTCCCAGACAGAAGCACTCTGACTTCAAAGGAATCCCAAAATTAGTTGACTCTGACGTCATGCTTATTAGGAAAGCAGTGGGTCTTTCTAGTTTTTCCCGCCACAATGGGACCACAAAACCCACCAAGGGGTCACATTTGTTTTAAGTAATATTCAATACAGTTTTGGAATTGAAGTAAAAAATTCCACAATTTATTCTAAGTCTGTAAATGAACAATAATGCTGTGCTGACATTTAACAAAGAAAAACGAGTGGGAGAGGAGGAATGGGGTGGAGGGGTGGGTGAAATAAATGACTGCACATCCTAAATATAGCTCAACTATGACAACAACAGAAACTACACAAATATTACCATTGACTCCAGTCTTATCTAGAACTTCGTTAGCATCTTTTGTTGACTGGATATCACCATTAGCAACCACAGGTATGGAAACAGAGTCTTTCACAGTTCTCACAGCCTCCATATCCACAGGCTCACACCGCTGATCCTTGGTTCGACCGTGAACTGTCAGGAAAGACACCCCCATCTTTTCCACTTTCTGGCACAAGTCAACTGTTTCCCTGTCAAAAATGATACAATACATAAAGTAAAGTTAGCTGTCTGTTCTATATAGGACTTTGCAGAGTGAGCCCTAGCATTTTTTTTTTTTTACAGTTTGTGATTTTACTAGGCAATTTTATGTTTTAGTAGTTTGCCACTGCTCTGAACAGTTGGCTCTCGATATCACTGTCAAAACCATCGCTAGGTGGCCTCTGCCAAATTGATTGCAGCTGGTATCAAACTTGGTACGTCAGAATTATGAAGCGTGTTCGCAATGCCTTAGCCACAGAGGTTGACAATACAATGTATGTACATTTATAAATACTGACACTCTCTCTCTTTCAGACACATACACAGAAGGAGAAAGAGAGAGAGAGAGAGAGAGAGAGAGAGAGAGAGAGAGAGAGAGAGAGAGAGAGAGAGAGAGAGAGAGAGAGAAAGGAACCCTTTTCCATACAATGATAAATAAACTGACAGGAAAGAACCAGAGATAGGAAGACTGTAATCTGTGGTGCTATTTAATGGTCAGACACAAATTATGTCCATATTCTACAGTTGTCTCAGCATGTAAAATCTGGCTAATGATAAGATCTTTTAGGGGTGCCTAGTTGGCCATATGTTGGAGTACAATTATTCCTAGTGAGATGCTACAGGGCGTTTGTAATTCTCACTACACTCTGTATGTAGAGCAAATCTGCAAAATGAAAGACATGATGTCATCAAAAGATGCACTCCACAGACTACTGGGAAGCAATATGCAGTGAATAGCTGTCCTCTGCTGGAGTAATTTTGTGCACTCAAAACAGAATTGTATTATCAAGAGAAGAAATAATTTAGTTGTTGTTGCTGGTTTAAACAAGTGTTTTGAAATGACAGTTGATAGACATGGATGATGAGAGAGAGAGAGAGAGAGAGAGAGAGAGAGAGAGAGAGAGAGAGAGAGAGAGAGAGAGAGAGAGAGAGAGAGAGAGAGAGAGAGAGAGAGAGAGAGAGAGAGGGAGAGAGAGAGAGAGAGAGAGAGAGAGAGAGAGAGAGAGAGAGAGAGAGAGAGAGAGAGAGAGAGAGAGAGAGAGAGAGAGAGAGAGAGAGAGAGAGAGAGAGAGAGAGAGAGAGAGAGAGAGAGAGAGAGAGAGAGAGAGAGAGAGAGAGAGAGAGATGAAACAAGCATATCTCCATGTTGGTTCTAGGACCCTATTGTAGGGAAAACAAGAAAAATCTACTGCCTACCAAACAGTATGTCGTAAGAGTTTACTAACTGGGAGCTTCCTTCAAAGTCAGAGTGCATCCACCTGAGAGGCAAGGAACCAAAAGTCTGCATACAAATGAGTCAGTTCTGTAAAACAGATGTGCATGCATCACTCAAGTTCTGGAACATGATTGCAGTCCAGAAGTGGATGAGCAACTAGAACTTTTCATTGGAGTTTACAGCTGGTGAACGCGAAAAATGAAGAAAAAAACAGGAACATGTCAAAAGAGGCAAATGACCATAACCAGTTGGGTTATATAATTAATTAGGTAAGTAAATAAGATGATGGAAATTATATAATTGTTATCCAGTCATCTATCTAAAGTATTCAATAGCAAGTCAGTGCATGACAAGAGCATGTATGAGTTTAAATATGAATATCCATCCAAATGCAAAACCATACAAGCTCAACTGACCTGATATCTTTATGAATTCGTATCTTGACAGACACTGTGAAATCTTCATTGCCCACCCTGGTCCTGGCTTGCTTGACCATATCACACAGCAGATCTGGCTTCTTTAACAGACATGCCCCATAGCCCTCTGACATTGCCCATCTGTGACAGAAGTGAACCAAGGTTCGATAAAAATTAGACTGAAACATTTTAGGTCAAAAAAGTTTTTATGAACTAAAAAACACCATCTGTGACAGAAGTGAACCAAGGTTCGATAAAAATTAGACTGAATACATTCTAAGTCAAACAAATTTTTATGATCTAAAAACACCTTCTGTGACAGAAGTGAACCAACATTCAATGATAATTATTAGGGCTGTACCGAATATTCGCTTCGTATTAGCTTCAGGGCCAAATAGTGGACAGAATGACTATTCGGTATTCGGCCGAATAGTTGCGGTCGGGCCGAATACAAATAGTGGTTACCTTACACTCATTTCTGCATACACTGCGATGGATTGAAAAAATTCTTTCATTAACACAATAGTTGCTGTGGCCTAAGTTTGTAGTAGCGGGAAAACTGCGACCCGGTTGCGTGGTACAGCAGCTGGCAAGGTCTTGCCTGCTGACTCGACCGAGGCATTACAGCGAAGGTTCTCAAACTGGGTGCGTATGCCAGGGGTGCCGGGGCGAAAATCAAGAAAAGTCGGCTATAAATTGTAACATTATTAAAGAAGACATAAAGATACTTGAGATACTTTCCTCACCACTGTCAAAAAGAGCACAGGCGACAGGCCATACCTGCATTTTATAAAATGAAGAACATCTTATGCAATATATCTTTGCGACTGAAGGTTAGAAAAAAAAATTCTTGCTTGCTACTATTTTTCTCCTATTTTTCCAGTTTTAACATATGGTTGTAAGTCCTGGACAATCGGCAGGTAGGCCAAACAATTTCTCTAGGCTTCAGAGATGTAGTTTTACAGAACAATGCTTAAAATACCTTGAACAGACCCACACAAAAAAGCAACCAATAGGTTTTGAAAGGGCGGGAGCCCAAAGACAACTAATCAGAGACATCAGAAGGAGACAGTCATCATTTTTCGGCCATGTTATGAGAAGAAGGCAAATAGAACATGTGGTGACCACTAGAAAGATCTGTGGAGGGAAGGATAGAGGAAGACAACGAGAGACATTCTTGACAGTTTTGCTGCATGGCATGGAGGTGTGTCAGCACACGAACTAATACATGCTGCAGGAGATCGCAGATTGTGTCGAGGCATAATCGCCAACGTCGGTCAGCAAGGCACCTGATGATGATGATACACTATTCGTATTCCTATTCGGCCGAATAGTTGGTCCCACTATTCGTATTTGACCGAATAGTGAAAATCACTATTCGGTAGAATAGTGAAAATCACTATTCGGTACAGCCCTAATAATTATACAGAATACATTTCAAGTCAAACAAGCTTTTATGAACTAAAACCAAAGTGAAGGACCATATTCACAACAGTGGTGTATCAGACATATGGTATCAAACTCATTTTTATATAGACCAATCGGTATTCAATCAGTGATGCTCCCCCCCCCCCCCTCCTTTTGGGTTCTGAGGCCACATTGTGGTGGGGAAATCAAGAATAGACCCATTGCTTACCCAAAAGCATGTCATAAGAGTCGACTAATTAGGAGCTTCCTTTGAAGTGCATCTGTATGAGAGGTAAGGAACCAACAGTCTGCATACAAATAAGCTAGATCTGTAAAATGGATGTGCATACAACACTCAAGATTTAAAACAGGACTAGAGCCCAGAAGTAAACTAACACCTAGAACTTTCCGCCGGACTTTACAACTGGCGAATGTAAAGAAGAAGAATTAGTGATGTGGAAAAAACTATGCTGGCCGTATTTACTTTTCAGGAAATTTCCTGCTTCCCATTTCAGGTTGGACTGACCTGGGAGGTAAGGTCAGTTATTTTAAAAAAATGCACCCACTAATAACATTCATAAACAATTTTAAATTCAAGGCTTACATTTTTATGAATAAAAAAAAACAACAACAACTAAACTATTATAACAATAGAAACTGTCTGACCTTTGAGGGCACCCACAATTTAGGTCCACCCCATCAGAAAATCTGAAAGCAAAAGTAATCACATGAACAAAAAAAAAAAAACAACGATCTTAAAATATAAGGGAATAAACAAACTGTAAAAGGCTACAACACAATTGTGCACTGGGCATATAGTGCTAGATATATATTTTTATGGACCAATCATCAGCTGTGGGTGATGTGGTCAACATCACATTATCTGCCTTTACCTCCCATGACATTTCTTGGTGCTGATTTAAGGGTGGTTTGACCTCAGAGCTCTATCAGACAACTTACAATACAATAAATGAGTTAAATACAAGTTGATAATACGAAAATCAGACAAACGGAAACAAAAAAGAACTTGGGTGCAAACTTCTAAATACTGAGAGATGAAAAACAGTCCGGAAATGAAGTATACTATGCCCTTTAACATCTGCTAAAGTCAAAGTCTCTATCTCACAACACCAAGATTCAAAAATATAAAACGTTGATAAGACCAGTCGTTTCATATGGCTCTAAAACTTGGAGCACAAATTAAAGAGATAAAGTCTTATTACAAATTTTCGAGTCTTAAAAGAAATAAAAAATGCAAACAGTTTGAAATGGAGAGTGATAAGCAACAAGGAAATTCATAATTTGTTAAAATCACTATTGATCACTGGCATCATAATGTACTTACGGAGCAACGATTTCAGCAGCATTAGCAAAATCATAACCGTTGTTGGCAGCAAACTGAACAATTAGGGGGCGGTCATCTGAATAAAATGAATTATAATTAAAATATAAATCACAATACATGACAATGTTTTGGAATGACAACACAACAAAAAAGGGACTTCATAATGGTGATAACTGTCTTTTTTTGAAAAGACATTACTTGAACATTGTCCATGTAATTCAACAAAGGAATGGCGCCTGCTCCAGACTGTAACATATTGGATGTGAATCACAATGTGAATTTTTACTTTCTATGAATCTTGAGAACTGTTGTGTGCAAAAGTCACTTGGTTGTGTAAAGAATTAATGAAGCCAGGGCTTGGTGAAGTATGTCTACACACTGGTATTCATGTTGTGTTGACAGGTTGTGAATGTAAAGGCTTAAGCGAAGTTGTGTAACAGGGGTTGCTCGACATTCCCGAGTGGGTCCTGAACCCCGAGTTTTGGACGAGAAAGTGAGATCCACGTGGAACTGACAGCAGGTGGGAAAAATCCCATGGTAGTTTGAGTCAGTGGCTTTCAGCCAGTCTAAGTGTTTGGACGTGTGCGCAAATTGTTCAAGTCCCATGGATGCATGAACTTGTTGTCTGGCAGTTTTAACAATATACGTTATTCTGTTGGAGTTCGTAATCTTTCCAGTGGATGTGGTGGATCATATGTTGTACTTTGGAATGCCGTCAGGAAAGTTGCGACTGTGGATTTACATGCATAATAAAATTCCCTGGTAGTTGAGAATTGGAAATAGTAGGCAAAAAGTCAGTTGCCAAGAAAAAACTATTTATTGCTGTATCATTCTGAATAAACTTTGAATATCCAGGCTCCATAACAAACAGCAGTGGAGAATGTTCAAAAAAAAGTCAAAAGGAGGATGGCCATAGCAATACAAAGATTAAACAGCATTAAAAGTCTATGGTTATGCACCAGAAAGGAAATCAAAGTTAAAATTTTCAGAGCATGTATCCTCCCTGTAGCAACATCCGGATGCAAGTCGTGGACTATCTCACAGTCCTTAAGGAAAAAATAGGAGCTTTTGAGTTCAAATGCTATAAAAAGATTCTCAGAATACTAGGGACAAAGAAGAAAAGAAATACTGATATCTTAAATCATTTAAACATCAAGGAAGATTGGCTAGTAAACGGCATCTTGTCTCAGAAACTGAATATTCTGACCATATCAAGCGGCACAGCATATTTAGAAAAAAAAATATTAGCGAAAGACATAGTACCAGGAAAGATGGCATCTTGTCTCAGAAACTGAATATTCTGACCATATCAAGCGGCACAGCAGATTTAGAAAAAAAAATATTAGCGAAAGACATAGTACCAGGAAAGATGACATCTTGTCTCAGAAACTGAATATTCTGACCATATCAAGCGGCACAGCAGATTTAAAAAAAAAAAATATTAGCGAAAGACATAGTACCAGGAAAGAGGGGCAGGGGTTGACCAGCACGAAGACGGGCACAGGATATAAATGACACCTTGGGTAGGAAAGTGCACGAGGTGGGAGAGCAGCCGAGAGATTGAGTTTCTTTCAAACAGACCGCAATCACACTGGCGTTCTGCATAGGACCTGCTACATGATGATGCTGATCTATTCTGATCTACACATATTTATGTCCTCATCAGCGATACAAAGTGTGTGCTTAGTTCTGCTGGAGAAGATGGTAGTACTTAGAGAGATGTCTATCCCATTGCAGGTGATTCTACAAACAAATCAACAAAACAATAAACACAGCTATCATTTCCTGTAACAGAAAACCTCCAGGAATATGATATTCAGGCAGAGACTCAGCTGACAGATTACCTGGTCTATTATCCACTGGCAGATTACCTGGTCTATTCTCCACTGGCAGATTACCTGGTCTATTCTCCACTGGCAGATTACCTGGTCTATTCTCCACTGGCAGATTACCTGGTCTATTCTGCACTGGCAGATTACCTGGTCTATTCTCCACTGACAGATTACCTGGTCTATTCTCCACTGGCAGATTACCTGGTCTATTCTCCACTGGCAGATTACCTGGTCTATTCACTGGCAGATTACCTGGTCTATTCTCCACTGGCAGATTACCTGGTCTATTCTCCACTGGCAGATTACCTGGTCTGTTCTCCATTGGCAGATTACCTGGTCTATTCTCAACTGAAAGATTACCTGGTCTATTCTCCACTGGCAGATTACCTGGTCTATTCTCCACTGGCAGATTACCTGGTCTATTCTCAACTGAAAGTTTACCTGGTCTATTTTCAACTGGCAGATTAAAGGGAGAATAAGATATGAAATGCTTAACTTCATGGAAACTTGGTTACAAGTGGCTAGACACTTGTCTACTGGCCTGAAGGTCAAGGGTTAAAATATGAACAGGTGGGTTTTTCAAAATCAACCTTGACTCTCAGTCGACCCAGCCTAAAATGTGTATCAGGTGATGACCTGAGAAGTAAAGGCAGCAGACATAATGTTGGCCCCATCACCCATTGAGTGTCCATCGATCTATTAAAAAACAGGTCTGACACTACTATATGTCCAATGCACCATCCTCATCGATTTCCACTTCTGTCACTAAGCGTTCTGGCGAGGAACAGTTTGCAATCTTTTGCTTCATCTTGCTTGATGGGCATAAATGGCTATAGACATTCTATGTGGATGTAGAAGCTCTCCAATGTCATCAATCCAAATTCTCCTAGGGTGGCCTCCTGCTTTCACTTCACATCTTCTCATGTGTAGCACCTGGGTTGGTAGTTGTTCTAGCTACATTCATCTGATCTTGTTTCTCAGTGAATTTGCTGCATGGTGTTGTTCCAACAGCCTGTCTCAAAATATCAATTCTAACTTTGTCTTGGATGGTTAAGTTGATGGCTTTTCTCAGGCAACTCATTTCACAGGTGTTAAATTTATCTAGGTTAGCCTTTGATAATGTCCAAGTCTGGTACCGGTAGCACAGTGTTGGTATGAATATGCTGTTTAAAATCTGTTTCTTGGCGCTCATACTTATGTTTGGATGTCTTAATAATGGTGTCAGTTAGTATATAAGTGCTTTGGCTAGTTGGCATCTTGTTTCTATTTCTCAATCTATTCTCCTGTCTTCCGAAAATATACTTCCTAAATGTTTAAATGATTTAACTTGTTTCAGATAAGAACCATTCAATCCATTCACTATATGTCCAATGCCAAAAAGGTTATTTACCTTTTTTCTTCAGAAACAATTTCCTATTACTAGCTTTTTGGAAGTTAACACCGTGTATAACGATCCTTGACCAGCCAGTATCAAAGATTTACTAATACAACTAGAAATGTCAAAATATTATGAGCCATTACCATAGCTGGTTGTAAAGTCTGCATCTCGTGCTTTGATGCTTCGAACAAAACAGTTAGACACTATCATGGGTGTGAAAGCCAGATGGCAGTCATACTTTCGCACAAGCAACCTGAAAGCATGTCTGTGAAAATAAAGTTAAAAAACACCATTTTATCAATGTATGCAGTTCATCAATATGATATTATTATAAGTTCTTTTTTTTTAATGACCTTGGCTCCCAGGTCGACCCAGCCTAGAGTGGGTACCGGGTGCAGTCCCAGGAAGTAAAGGCGACCGGCGTGATACCAACCACATCACCCATCTTTTGCCAATTGGTCTATAAAATATAGGTCTAGCCCTATATGCCTAAAGGCGTGGAAAAGCGTCCTTTACTTTACTTTACGTTCTGCTGTTACGTGCAGTAACATCCTAGTCCATCTTTCTGACCCACTCGTGCTCTGTTCCCAGATGCAGCAGACATTTCAGTGTCTCCATGCTCAACCATGCCTGGCCTACCATGGTGTTTGCAATCAAGATAGTTTCTTGAGGCGGGGCTTCTGGATGACAGGGTCCGTAGCTAAATTCATCAATTGTTTCAAGGGTTTTTCAAGGTTTTTTGGAGCATTTTTAAGGTTGTGCAGTGCATGTAAACTGCCTAATTTGTACACATGTGCTTGGATAAACAGATGCAGAGTAAGCTGGGATAAACAGATGCAGAGTAAGCTGGGATAAACAGATGCAGAGTAAGCTGGGATAAACAGATGCAGAGTAAGCTGGGATAAACAGATGCAGAGTAAGCTGTACACACATATGCATTAAAGAATGCACGTGCGCGCGCACACATACACAATATTGAAGGCTAGCCATAGAGATAGGAAGGGCAGAATGTAAGACGGGCCTGTGTGCCCAATTCTCAACCCTTTGAAAATAAAGTTTGTTCGTTCGTTCGTTCGATAGGAGCGAGTTTAAGGGATGATCACTATTAATGTTAGCATAACTGAATGCATTATATTTTCAACACACATAAAAAACTTAAATTTCAATTTGTTTTATATCTAAAGTAAAAAAGAATCCTTTATCCTTGTGTAGACCATAGGTTGCTATCAGATGAAATGTATAAATCCCATAAAGACCATGCAACAAGCGATTAACACCTGTTGACACAAAGTGCCACCACTCAGATGAAAATTACCCAAGCGCAAGTCCCAGAAATCCTGTTCAACCTTAGGTTATATTAGGGCCTCCAACAACAGCCAGTGTAGGTCTTTAGGGTTACAAAAAATTGTGTCATACAGGGATGAAGAAAAGAAATGTATACATCCAGAATGAGCAACAAAAAGTTGCTTACTAAAAATTATGTGTGAAGTATCAGACCATTGGCACATAACTGTTTAGATTTGTTGTTGAAACACAAAAATCTGTGTATAAAATGATAAAATATTAAAATTAAATTGCAAATGAACAAATTAGACCGTATATGAACACAAAAAACCACAGAACCTATACTGACTTTGAGTAGCGGACCATTGGGGCACAAATATTGACCAGATTTTTCTGTTGGAACAGCTCTAATGGACGTAAATACTTGAAATTATCCTCTGCTTGTAGTCTCTCCATCACTGGCCTTTTGGAAGAAAGCCACTGAGCATCAACTCCATCATGAGGAGCCACACAATGGCTAGCACAGTCAGTGACACTTGGGTCGTGTGGTTTTCTGCCAGCAAACTGCATCATTGTATAAGGTGACTTCTAATTCATCAAATGTTTTCTGTACAAAAGAAAAAAATTGTGTCACTTGACTCATGTAAGGGCCATGCGCCTTGCGTTGGGTTTCGACAGTGGTATCAAGACAGCCGACTGTCCAGAAAGTAATGACAAACTACTGGACGTAAATTTGCCTAGAGAAACCACACAACAGCCTGGGGCTGCTGGGGTTGGTTCTGCAATGTCCTGTAAAGGATACGCAACTAACTTATGTGCAACCTATAATATTTGCTGCCAAGTAGTTCACTGCGACATACCAGGAAATCAGTTAGCAGACAGACTTGCAAAAAAATGGAACAAAGGCGAAACAACACGCTCATTCATAGTCATTACCAGAAATCAGGACCTTATCAAGGGAAAATACAAGTAATTGTGGAGAGAAAAAACTAACCGTAAACATCCACAAGACCACATAAGCAGACTCAACAGGAAGCAACATACAACAATTTTCCGTCTATGAACAGGACACTGCAGGCTCAACTACCACATGCACAAATAAAGATTGTACAGTCCCCACAGTGTGCCTGTCAAAGAGGACCACAAACACCTGAGCACATTCTGCAGACCTGCCCACTCTACCTACAAGTTTGAAAAGACACATGGTCTCAAGAGCAAAGTGCAAAGCAAGCTATGGGGAACTATGAAGGACCTGCTACTTTCATGCGACCCACCTGATGGTCAGATCTGAACATATGAAACCGAACGCAAAGAAGAAGAAGTATTAAAAAACTCAGTGTCTTCTTCTTTTCTTTCTTCAGTTACCTGAGCAAAGTATTGGGTGTTTAGTGTCCAAGTTTGCTTTCATTTTTAAAATAAATGTCTTTTCTTGTTGTTGCTACATCTTTAGTATGATCGTTCCCTTGCTCTGAGCTCATTATACTTATTTAACTTTGCTCTTTGTGGTAGTTGGTACCTGGGCATTCTTGACAGATGGCCAAACTATTTCATCTGTTTTTCTGTAATGAAGTGTATAACTGTCTGCTTGTTACTCCAGCAGCTTTACAAACACACATGTAGATCTTTTCTCATGATTTATTGCCCACTGTAACACAAGTAACACAATGTCAGCCCCCCCCCCCCCCCCCCAAAATTAGTTCACTGTGTTTACTTCATTTTCTTCTTTTGTTCACTTGAAATAGATTATCTATATCTGCAGTGTTGTCTCTAGTATGAACTTCACTGTCTGTAGTAATTAAATCAGCGACCTGTAAAGTTTACCAGTGTTTCTCGTGGCCAAAAGTTTTGCTCAGGTGTTAATCCACATGTACGCATGGCGGTTCTTGCTTACTATAATTTTTTATTAACTTTTGAAGTGTGGGCTTTGGGGTCCCATTGTGAAGGGAAAAGAGTAGACCCATCGCCTCCCTAACATGCATGTCATAAGACTTATTAGGGTTTCTTTTGAAGTCGGAGTGCATCTGCCTGAAAGGCAAGGAGCCAACAGTCTGCATACAAAAAGCCACATCAGTAAAACAGATATGTACACAGAACTCAAGTTCTGGAACAATACTAAAGCCCAGAAATGGATGAACAACCAGAACTTTCCGCTAGAGTTCACAGCAAAGAAGAAACAGAGTGCACATTTTACTGCCTGGTACATTTCATCTCCTCAGATGCATTACTGCAACACACTGGCTCTCAACCTTCCTAATGTCATGACCCTTTAACTCTTTAAGTCCCAAGGAGCGTATCATACGTTCATAGGTTCCCGCCAAGAGGCCCAATGAACGCAAGATGCGCCGATTTTACATCTCTTTTGACTATCCCTTGGGCCTCTGATGCTAAACCCCCTGGGACTCAAAGAGTTAATACAGTTCCCTCATGTTGTGGCGACCCCCAGACAATTATTTCGTTTCATAACTTCAATGAATATGTGTTTTCCGGTGGTTTTAGACGACCCTTGTGAAAGAGTCATTCAACCCAAAAAAAGGGTCGCAACATTAATCCATAAACCTCTTCTTCTCTCTTCCACTTACCTGATTTAAATCTTAGGGAAGATGTAAGGATCTTCTGTGTGCTCATTCTATTGGCTATTATAAGCTGATTACATTTTGTAAAGACTTTGTGTGGTCTTGCACTGTGCACCCTCCCATTATATTCAATATATTTTTTCAGTATGGCTCTCTGTGGCAGTTGATAGGAGGTAATTCTTGTCATATGGCTAAATCATCTCACCTGTTGTTCTAAATACTTAATGAATTATATGAATGCTTTCAGCCTTGTCTTCTAATTTCTTCATTTTTAATTCTATCTCTTCTTATTACTCCAGCAGCTCTTTTAAGACATCTCATCTCTGTCCTTATGATTTTACGCTCATTAGATGTACTTGTCCTGGTGTGGGCTCTGGGGCCTTATTGTGGGGAAAACAAGAAAAGACCCACTGCCTCCCCAGCAAGTATACTGTAAGAGTTGACTAACTGGGGGCTTCCTTCAATGTAGGAGTGAATCTCTCTGAGAGACAAGGCACCAACAATCTCCACACAAATAAGTCAGATCTGTAAAACAGATGTGCATGCAACACTCGGGTTTTGAAAGGAGACTTACGTCCATAGGTGAACGAATAACTACACTTTCCACTGGAGTTTACAGCCGATGAACGAGAGGAAGAAAAAGAATATGCAGTTGCAGTTACAGAGCCACATCTGATGCTGGTAGCACAAAGTTGACCACAAAGTTCTTATTAATTTCCTGTGTAGACAAACAGATATATTTCCAGGATTTTTTTCCCTGATGCTATGCATCAGTAGTCAACATTGACAAATTTTTAAAGACAATTTGTATTCCCGCGCTACAGTTATAGACATACTGCGGTAAGAGAAAAAAAAGCTCTGTATATTTACATGTATCAAAGGTGGTGTTATTATCCATCAACTGAAATATGCATAAGATAATATTTCTTGTTACACTAAACATCTCCCTGAGTAAGAGCTACAGTGTAACAAGAGACCACAAGAGATTTGTGTATTTTAGTTGAAAGGATTCATATTTTGTTGTTCATTATATTTATAGTCTTTTCTGATTCTTCTTCTTCTTTCCTCTACTCCTGGAATGCCTTTTCAGTGTCTCTGATACTTCTAAGGTCCATCTTCTGTGTGGTCGACCTTTGGCTCTGTTACAATTATATCTGTACAATACTGCTCTCTTTGGTGCCCTGCCTGCTGCCAATCTTGGTACATGACTTAACCATTTGATTTGCTGTCTACCTATAAAGTTCAGTATTGGTTCTGTGCTGACTCTCTTCCTGATATCGTTCCTAAATCAATTTTTGATCGTTTTACCTAGCATTGTATGCAAACATTTTATTTATGTTTTTTCCTGTCTCCTAAAGACAGTATCCGTGTTTGACACCGATAGCATAGCGTTTTCTAATTATTGTGCATTATCTCGGCAGGTTGATTAATCCACTAAAACAATAAATATGGGACTAGTTTCTCATCACAGAAACATGATTGCATCTTTTGGGACCTTCTCTTCTGCATTTATCCTGCAAATAGTAGTTAGCATCTGTTGTGGTTTATAGATAGGCGTCTTTCGGCCCAACACAACTTATTTAAGAACATCCCCAAATATCTGCTTGTCACAGTGTGCATACTGGGGGCAATGGGTCTAGTCTTTACTCCCAAAATAGCGCCCTGGCAGGATTAACTGAAAGAGTTAAAATGAATACAACAATAAGATTTGAGACTGTGTGAAAAGGTTAAACAATGAAAGATGAATAAATCACTGAAAAAGCACAACAAAACAGATAATTATTTTTCACAAGTTTACTGAATGAACCAAAAACCTTATTGTGTTGTTTGTAGATTGTATTCTCAAATCCAACATTAAATAATACAAAAAATTTTTTTTATAACTCTACAATCAAACAAAAAATGTATTTTTACAAACAATTACTAAAATGACAAAGAACATGGAAATCACATAGCTAAATAGTATGAGATACAGCTAGGCCATTATCATACAAAGAAGTACTGTCTCTAGAATGAAAGCTGGATCCCCAACATACTCTGTTTCTTTGCTTAGTTGCACACTCTCTTAGACTACTGTTCATCCATCTCCTGATGTTGTCCTCCCTCTTGTATAATTGTCTACTACTTGCTCTCTGGCCTTAGACTTTTTCCCTGTCTCGGTTTTTAAAAGAGTGTTATGTCTTTTAACGTGGCCATATATTTCACTTGTCTCACTATTTACTGTCACGTAACCTGATATAAATTTAGTATAATGATGTAATAACACTAAATAACATAGTATGAAACAATGACAACAACAGTTGTGCTAGATAATGTCACACCGAAAACAGATCAGGAAGTAATTAACCAAGAAACAAACTATGACCTGAAAATTCAACGGAAAAAAAAAAAGGATTATTACCCCCAATTTTTTTTTTTAAATAATTTAGCACTTCCCTAAATCTGCTTATAGAAACTTACTGAACTAATTTCTTGTTAAGTTTCTTTTTGATATCAGTAAGACTCCATCAACTTTTTAATTTACTAACAGAGCAACTTTAGTTTCATGATTTGATTTCGAAAACAAAGTCATCTATCGGTGAGGTTTGAGAATAAGGCTATTAAATAATTATATTCCTAGAATCATTGCAGCAGCTTTCACACTACAGGACACTGGTACAAAAGTCTTACTGTGGAAGACACTGGAGCATAACCACATGAATTCCCAAAGAAAATAAGAGGATGCATATTTCCACCCTAGCCAATCATCACTGTGGAGGCTTTAAAGGTTTGCAGTACATTTCTTCTTCTTCCTTTTTACTGGCTGTAAACTCAAGCGGAAAGTTGTGGGCGTTCATCCACTTCTAGACATTAGTCTTGTTCCTAAACATGAATTTGTGTCTG